GAGAGAGAGAGAGAGAGAGAGAGAGAGAGAGAGAGAGAGAGAGAGAGAGAGAGAGTCTCGTTGGCTGCGCGGGTTGTTCCGAGCAGCCCGCCGAGATCCTTGAGGCCTCCGGGCTACTGCGACGTGCAGAGAAAACAGAAATCATGGCGGTGTACCATTCCATGTTCTAGCGGAATATCCTCTCTCGTTCCGCACACTTCGAGAATAGTGGAGCGACTCTCTCTCTCTCTCTCTCTCTCTCTCTCTCTCTCTCTCTCTCTCTCTCTCTCTCTCTCTCTCTCTCTCTCTCTCTCTCTCTTTTTCCTTCCCAGCCCGCTACCGCCACGCCGGTTTTCTTCTCATCTTTTTGTTTTTCTTTTATGAGTTTCTCTTTTCTTTCTGTTTTTTTTTTCTTTTCTTTTCTTTTGTTTCGTAGGAATCCTTCATACGGTCGTTCATTGCCCCGACCCCCGGCTGACGCGGCGCGTTAACAGCCGCGTCGTAGTAAAATAGCTGGGGGAGGTATTGATGGTTTAAACCACCAGTTCTTGGCCCAACTATCGATGCCAAGCCTGAATATGCCCTGCACGCCGTTTCGCGCCATGGCGTCAGCCTTTCAGGTCCGGTACCCCGGACCTCCGAAACTTTTGGGGGCAACATATGGGCCAAGTACTGGTGGTTTAAGGAATTCTACGAGGAATCGGCAGTGGAGCACAAGCCGAAGAGAATTCGGATCAGCCCCTGCTTCTTTTGGTTTTCGGTAGAACTGTTGTGCCGTGAGTGGCGGACAAAGGGCCTCGCCACACCACTCTCGAATCTCGAAAATTCGAGAGTTGGGCACTGCCACACAGCCTCCCGAAAAAAAAACCCTCGGATCTCTTCGAGAGCTGTAAGAACACCGGTTTCGAGGGCCTTCTCGAAACGATGTTTGAGCCCAGCCTGCAGCTTCGGGGTTTTCGTGATACCGCCCGTCGGCGCTCGAGTTCGTGGTCCATTTCGAGARCTGTCAGGCCATTTTTCTGATGGCTGCGCCATCGTTTGGACGGTAGTGCGCCGAAGGAGAACAGAGCAATCTCGGAAGCAATTCTCGGAAACGCACCTTCTTCGAGAGGCGGAAGGTACCCGACTCGCTTCCAATTCGAGAGTTGGCTCCGCCACACAGCACTACCGATTCGGGCCACGGAGAGCATCCACGTCTGAGAGGAAAGTTATTGAGTGTGCTATGTGGCAAAGGGCCTTTTTCTCTCGAAAACCGGCCTCTCGAAAAGTTCTGACAGCCCTCAAATTTTTTCGAGATTCGATAGTGGTGTGGCGAGGCCCAAACTCCCACATAGACCTTTGTTTCAACTCCCCTCCGAGAGAGCGACGGGAGACCTGAGAAAGCGGGAAGAAGTAGAATCCCAGAAAATGCCAGGTCTCCCCAAAAAGGACAGTAGTTGGATCAATCCCTAAGGGCCTCGCCACACCACTCTTGGGGACTCGCTGCACTACTCTTCAATTTTGAAAAATCAAGAGTTCATCACCGCTGCACTAACTCTTGATGCCGCGTGCTGGATTTCTATTCAAGAGCTGTCAGATTCACTCTAACCTTGGAAAACTGCTCTTGGTCCGACGCTTCAAGAGGTGTCAGAAATGGCCCATCGGACGAGCTCTTGAAATTTCAACAGTTCCCGCCTGCAGGAGCTTTTTTTTCAAACGAGGCCGATGGGTCCCTTCATGCGGTTTGCAAATTCTAGAGTCGGCCTCTGGTCTTGGTGGACAAATCGTCTCTGCCCTGTCGTGTAGTGTCTGTCCAACAGTGAAGAAAGCTCACGAGAGTCGAGAGTCTGGAGTAAGTGTAGCGACGATAGCACTTGATGCCAATCCAGGAGTCTGACAGTGGTAGACGAACTCTCAAAAATTTTCATGTGTCTAGCGTAGTGCAGCGAGGCCCTTGAAAACTCATTTTCAGGAGTTGCTTCATCGTCACACAGCCTCTTGAAACTAGGGCAGTCGAGAGCAGTCAGAGTGGCTCTTGAAACCCTTTCAAGAGCAGCTCTTGAAAGATTGGAAACCCCAGCCTACAACTCGTGCGTTTTCAAGCATCCTTGGCCGAACCCTTGAGGGACCATCGATTTTCAAGAGTTGTCGGGCCGTTGTCCTGACGCCATAAAAAAAGAAACAAAGCTGTAGACTGTCTTTTTGCATCCTTTGTCTTTTTGCACTATCGCCGTTTCAAGAGTGCTGTGTGGCTATGGGGTCTCGCTCCACTACTCTCGACTCACGAAAAATTTCGTGAGTCCTTCTATAGCTGTCAGACGTGCAAGACTCTCGAAAAAAAAGTATTGGCTCCACTTACTCTAGACGGGTTTGCTCGAGATGCAGTGGCGGAATGAGACGAGCTCTCTGACTGCACTAAAAGACAGCGCCGCCCTGTTCTGATGGTCGGGACACGAGGCGCACTCACGAAAAAAAATGGTCGGAGCGGGGCTACGAGGGAGGACACTGGAAAAGCATGTCGTCGCAGGCTGGGCACTCTAGACACTTTGAGAGTGCCCTTCGAGAGTGCTTTCTGACAGCTCTCGAAGGGCGTTTTCGAGAGCACCTATCTAGAGTGAGTGGAGCGAGGCCTTACTCTCTAAATTTCGAGAGTGTAGAGTAGTGGAGCGAGACCCATGGGCCCAAAACTCTCGAAAATGCAACTCTTGAAATCGTCTGACAGCTCTCGAAACATTTCGTTGTTTCTTTTTTTTTTTCTTTTTTTTTTTTTGTATAAAGGTGACGGCCTTGCCATATTATCATTGAGCTGACCGGCCCCAGGCAATTCATTAGTAGTTGGTTTTACTCATCAAGTTCCATATGTGGATTCGAACACGGGGCTGTATTTCAACAGTTCATGGGTGTACCCACTGAGCTAGGCTCTTGTTTTTTTACGTTGTTTCAAGAGTGGTGTGGCGAGGCCCTAAGAAGTGGGATCAGACCCTAATGTCACCTAGAGATCCGACCGTCGCCGAGGCCAAAACCAGCAATCTCCTTCTTTTTTTTTTTTTTTTTTTTTCACGAGCAATCTCCTTCGGAACGAACGATAAAGAGAAGGTTATCATGGCCTGCGTACAGATTACACGCATAAATCGTAAAAACATGGTCCAATTTTCTTAGGAAGAAACGAAAAAGAACACTGATGGTACGTACGGCCACACCACGGCTAATGCGCCCGATCCCATCCGAAAGGGCCACACCACGGCTAATGCGCCCGATCCCATCCGAAAAAGATTACTTTACTGGGAATAGCAGGTGAGATGACGAGGCCCGTGTATGCGCAGAGCACTCGACAGCAGCCTACAATGAGGTTTACCCTCTCTGTGGGTTCAGGAAGGGTGTTGGGGAGGAGAGTGTGCAAGCAAGAGAGAGAGAGAGAGAGAGAGAGAGAGAGAGAGAGAGAGAGAGAGAGGAATGAATATACCTTCAACTGGAGGGCTCAATTTCGATATATGCAGGCGTAATGCCATGTTGGAGAAGGACGGATATAAGCATCCACTCCACGCGTACGGAAAGCAGGAACGACAATTGTAGGGGTTGTAAACAAGTGAGTCCACGGCTGTTCGCCTTTTTTTTTGGCTTCCTCCCTCATGATTTTTCTTCTCTTCATCCCTCTCTCCTCGCTTGGCGGCCAAGCTACGATGTCTCACTAGTTTTCACTGACCTACTGTAGTCCATGCAATCGGCCGCTCTCGTGCGTGGAAGCGGGAAGGAGGTAGATCCGCAGCGGGTGTGCTCACAGCAGGACTTTTGGAACCGACAGAGATTAAGGGTTAGTTCGGTTCAAAAAAAAAAAAAAAAAAAAAAAAGGGTTAGTTCGGTTTCGAATCCCTCTCAGCAGTTTCATCAAGAAAAAGTCCGAGTCTAAGGGCACGCTCACACTAGGTACCAAATCCCCATTTTCCCCCCAAAAAAGGGTTCCCGGACAGTCACACATGGTGAACATCTGCCCAAATTCTCAAAAGGGGTGACCATTTGTCAGCGGCCTGCGAAGCCGCGGGGGAAGGAAATTTGCGGTGACCTCCGGAGGTTACCGCAAATTCTCAAATCATTTTCTGAATTACCGTGCAAAATTGGAGAATAAATGGAACCCCACGATATTAGCGGCCTATCAATTGAAGAAAAGGAAATTTGGGGAAATGGGTGCACGCACGGAGCGGTCAGACGCGCGGAGCACGAGCAGAGAGGTTCGTATGGATACCCGTTGCCAGCAGTAACGACCCAAAAAAAAAAGAAGGAAAAAACAGATTGTAAAAACTGAACAATTGCATTTCCCATTTGAGTTACCACCGTGTGACCGGCGCCCTCCACAAGCACCTCGCAGAGAGCGATGTCGCGACCTTGTCTTTAGCGTGTTGGGAACACAGTGTGACCGGCCAGGGCCACATTTCCTCAAAACGGCCGTTCCCATTTTCCCATTTTTTTGGGAATTTGGGTACCTAGTGTGAGCGTGCCCTGAGAGCAGACTTTTTTTTTTTTTTTGGTTGGTGGTTTAAACATCCCAATGCAAGAGCACTATCCCGATGGTAGTGCGTGAACCATCAGGATTGGGGGGTTGCCAGGTGGACGGCTCCTATCTATTGGTGGGGAACTTCGCGCTCAGGACATTTGCGACTCTGCTCCTGGACATAATTGTGGTCAGACGCATCCCTTGTCGGCCGAAATTGCAGTCCCATAGATTCAGAAAAAGGTCAAGTGTGAGCATGCTGTGAGCACGCTCTGTATTAGGGAAAGATTGCACTGGAGATGATAGCTGCCGTGATGATGATAGTGATGATGATGATGATGATGATGGGGACGATGATGATGGCTATGGTGGTGATTCTGTGAGGACGATCGTGCCGGAGGAGACCATCAGTAGTAATCTCCAGTAATCGTTCGTGTGGGTCCATGATTAGGCTAAGCCACATCTAGCAATTAATTGGTCGGCCAATCAGCAAACCATACATAATCAATCAGGTGATCTATAATCCAATCAGTGGGCTCGGACAAACCGATCGGTCGGCCAATCAGGAGAGCGGTATTTCGTGGGTATGGATGGGGTATTATTGGATTGGTACACTCCATCTATATCTATCAACCACTCGGTCAGTCGGTTGGTCAATCAATCCGTCGCTACCTTCTTTCCCCGAATACAACACACCCTCATCATGAATGTATAAAGGCAACTGTTCCAGCCATCATGAGGTTGCGTTGTGTTCAGGGGAAGATGGTAGATCGGATGAGAAGGACCGATCATGCCTTGCAAGTTGGGAAATTAGGGTAAGATCTCTTCTGTGATTTGTTTTTGTTTTTGCTTTTGCTTCTCCATTTGATTTATATGAACTTTCGGATCTGGTCGATCGGATGAGAAGGAGCGATCATCCTTGATGATGGTGAAGAGGTGGTATCTGCAAGAAGATGGATGGAATGATTGGCGTGGGATGTTTGAAAAAGGAGAAGGGGGGGGGGGCGCGCGCGGAGATATCGAGAAGGAAGGGTGGAGGACGCAGGAATGGAGACCCCGGGAGGGGAATGTATCAGGGGGGGAAAGGGGTAAGCGGAAGATGAGAGAGATGTGGGGTTGTAAGAGGAAGAAGAGAGGAGGCGAGAGTTTAGGAGGGCTGGTTAGGGAAGACAGATGTGTAAGAGGGAGGGAGAAAAAAAGGGAAAAAGGAAAAGAGGGAGGGAGGAAAAGAAAGAGGAAGAAGGAAAAAAAGAGGGAGGGAGAAGACAGGGTGGGGTGAGGGGTAGAAGGGGGAGAGGTGGGTGTGGGCAGGGGAAGCTACAGAGATGAGAAAAAAAGAAAAACTGATGGAGGAGAAGAGGCAGGGAGCAGGAAACGAGGGGAGGAAGAGAATGCGTGCTAAACAAAACACCCGCGGGGGCAAACAGCCAACACAGCAGTAATTGGGGGACAGAAATGGGATAGGGAGGGAGGAGGAGAGGATATGCGAGGGATGAGTATATTAGGGGTGAAGAGGAAGGAAAAAGGGAGACAAGAGGTGTGCGAGAAAGAGAGGATGTGGGGAGAAGAGGGAGGAGGAGAGGATGGGGGAAGGAGAGGGGGAGGAGAGGGAGGAAGATAGTGTACAGCAGGGGGTTCTTTGGATTGCTGACGATCCGATGGGGGTTCCTGTCTGCAGGGGCTGCCCGATTTCCCCCCCCCTTTTAATTAGGAATAACTGCGATACACTCCCCCAAAAAAAGATGACATGTATGCTAAAATGCCCCTAAAAGACCTGCGTACAGGGTAGTGCCCTTTTGGCCCAAAATCTTTGTTATATGCCCCCCCTGCAGCCCCGTTTGCCGCCCTACCTGGTGGGCAACTTTGCCAAATGCCCAGGGCTATTTGTGCGGTAATGTGGAGGAATGGGACAAGCGATTTCAAAAACGATCTGCCGCCAAATCACAGATAGACACACACACACACACACACACACACACACACACACACACACAGAGAGAGAGAGAGAGAGAGAGAGAGAGAGAGAGAGAGAGAGAGAGANAGAGAGAGAGAGAGAGAGAGAGAGAGAGAGAGAGAGAGAGAGAGAGAGAGAGAGAGAGAGAGTCCACACACGCCATTCTCTCCCTCTCTCCCTCTCTCACCCTCACATTCCCTCTCTCTCTCTCTCTGTCTCTCTCACATGTGCCACACTCTTTCTCTCGCTCGCTCTTTCTCTCTCCCTCCCTCCCTCCCTCCCTCCCTCCCTCCCTGATTTGGTGGCATGATAGTTTGGAAATTGGGTGTCCCGTTCGGCCACCTTACCCTGACAATAGCCCTCGGCATTTCGCAAGTTGCTTACCCGGTTTGGGGGCAAACGGGTTAAGAACGAGTGCAGGCCCGGCCATGTGGGGCGCGGCCCAGAATGCAAACTTCTGTGCTCTCCTGACAGGGGCATACCACAAAGATTTTGGGCCAAGGCATGCTGTTCTGCCCACGTCTTTTAAGGGCTTTTTACCATATATCTCATCTTTGGGGCATATATCACAATGCCTTAACCGAGGACAGGGGGATACTTCACAAAGGATTTGTATCAGAGGGGCACTCCCCTCTACCCACATCTTTTAGGGGCATTTTGGCATATATCTCATCTTTCGGGGGTATATCACAACTTATCCCTTTTAATGATTATTTGTTAAACAGAATTTGATCCATTTCAAAGTGCAAGACAATAAGGGAAACATAAAATTTAGAAATGCCAAAATTTTAGAACGGCCACTGTCATCAAGTCCTTTCTTGGGTGGGGGGGAGAGAGAGGTAAAAAGAAGAGAGAGGTAAAAAGAAGAGGTAAAAAGAACTAATTCAAATCCACAAGGCCTCCAAAGCCTGAAAAACCAAGAAAGGAATAATACACAAAAAAAGGGGGGATACCACAACGTATCCCTTTTAATGATTATTTGTTAAACAGAATTTGATTCATTTCAAAGTGCAAGACAATAAAGGAAACATAAAATTTAGAAATGCCAAAAATTTAGAAGGGCCACTGTCATCAAGTCCTTTCTTGGGTGGGGGGGAGAGAGAGGTAAAAAGAAGAGAGAGGTAAAAAGAAGAGAGGTAAAAAGAACTAATTCAAATCCACAAGGCCTCCAAAGCCTGAAAAACCAAGAAAGGAATAATACACAAAAAAAGGGGGGATACCTTTCTGGGCCTTTTGGCTGACATCAAGTGTAGTATCCGTTCTGATCAGTTTAGCATCTGATTTTTTAAAAATGAAAAAAAAAAACGAAAAGGGGGAAAACAAGGAGCACAAAAACCCTACCTACAGCAACATATCTATTAATCTGTACTCCATGTCACTTTTCCCCTTGGCTCAAAACGCCCTGCGCACCACCAAAAGAAAAACGAACCGGCATGGGCCTCCTTTTGGCTGGCACTGCCAGCCAATTTGCTCCGCTAGGCTGACCCCCGAAACTTGTGGCTGCAGGCACACCTTGCTGGAGAAAAATGGCTGGGAGGCATACAGGTGATTTAATGAAAGAGAAGCCATTGCAACTATAAGCTAAATTAATCTCTAAATTGTTCTACTTTTGCTAGAATCCTATCTCTAATACACCAGCTACCAGGGCGAAGTCCTCTAGCAGGGGTTTAGTCTTCATTTCGAGTATTTTTCATCCCCCTCTCAAGTAGTTTTCAACCCCCTCTCAATTATTTTTCAGCCCCCTCTCAAGTATTTTTCAACCCCCTCCTTTGGAGTATTTGACAGCGTGGTCACAGTGTGGCCGTGAGGTGTTCATATGTTCAGATCGGATCGCAGGAATCCGTCCGTACTTGAAACCAAGCCTTCCGTACTTGAACCAAGTCTAAATAAACCCCTGCTACGGTCTTCACCCGAATAGAATGCCCTGTCATTATTGCTGTACTTGCAGCAACTTCCAGTCCAGATGCAGCGATGATGACCAGGCATTCTATTCCGGTGAAGACGGTAGTGGGACTTAGTCCCTAGTTGACAGTGGCTGGATTCTATAAGGATCCACTGACATCATGATGCTCCTTCTTATTCTCCCTTCTGCACCTCAGAGACGAACCTACCATCTTCACCGGCATAGAACGCCATCTCATTATAG